CTTTTCGCGGGCTGAAAACTCCGAAATGGGCGCGTTTGAACTTTTCCAGGCTTGGGGAAGGGCTTGGGGGCTGGGAAATTAAGTTCAATTGCGCGCACTTTGCGCATTTCGCGGGCTGAAAACTCCAAAATGAGCGCCGTTGAACAGTGCCCTTTCCATTCTGTAAAGGCACCCTTACCTGAACCTCGACAAGACATACATAGCGAATGACGAGGTTTACAAAGTGTAAATTTGGATGGGATGAGGCAGCATAATGGGTAAGGCGTCTGCATCTTTATGGAATGACCTGGGTTCAAGCCCTCTACGTATCAAATCAGAAATGTGCAGAGACTCTCGTGGATTTCTGGTATTTCCTAAATTATCCGATTAAGAAATGTGCGAGATTCTGGCGAAGGAATGTGGTTTTCTAAACATAAAGTTCGACCGTACATTGAACTGGAAGTGAAGTGCAATGCTAAACGCATCACTCACTGCTCGGTCTGGCGCGCTCTGACCACGATGGTCGTCACACTGTACAACAGCACCTGGACATGATGCTTTCGGCCTTTTCGTGAGTTCGTGTATATGTTTTGTAGATTTGTAACTTTACGGAGAGAGGATACACACAGAGCGATGGCGCTGCCGTCGATAAGGTTACAATTGCAACACCTGCCATGACGACAACAAGAGCAACAGAAGAAACCGAAGAATAATAATATTAGAACCAATGGGAACAGCCACAGCAAGGAAATGGAAGCAGCCTAAGTATCAACAGTACATGGAACGGGCAGCAATAATTGGAGCAATGCATGCATCTGTAGTCGGAGTGGTGGTCAGGTAGTGCAGCTGCGCTGGTTAACAGGCAGCAGCATCTGGAGCAGGAATAGTAGTCGCAGTAACACTAGCATTTGTTGTGGTCGTAAATCGCCAGCAGTAGCAGAAGCAGGCGGCTGTGAGCTCGCGCGACCTTGTTTTACAACAAGGACAAGATCTGATGTCAGAGCAGGCTTCTGGAACGACACCGTCACAATCGCTCTGATCATCGTTTTCTTCGTCAGCATCATCGGAGTAATCCGGATCCTGATCACTATCATTGACATAATGATCACCATTGGCAATGAATAGCCGTGAGTTTCGTTGGCCTGTTTGCACATTGGGTCGTAAGATGGTTGCCGGCATTGTGTTGGATAGATGATGGGTCTGTATGTCTCACTAACACGTAGACAGCTAAACAGTATATGATGACAGATGGAATGTAAGAACGGCCTTGCTGGTTTGTCTTGGGACAACCATGTGGAAGAGCCACAGCTAGGACTGTAATCACCATGCTTGCTACCACGACGACGACGACATAGTAAACCCGCTGTCATATAGTCATGATTCATGATATTTTTTGGTTCGTACACCCTGAACACGAAGCAAGCAATGGAAAAAGAGACTATGTGGAACGAAGCGGTACATTCTGAAGCGCAAATCATTGCGGCCCAGCCGCTCTTCATAACGGTGCCACGCTTTACCTTCACCAGGCATTCGGGGGGCACTCAACCGATATTTGTGTCACTTCTTGGTTTCCAAGATCATGGGCCGGGCAGGGCTTTACATCGGCGAGATACAGCGGAGCACCGCAACGTGCTTGTTTTTGTGTTGCGCAGCATCTCTGGCACCCCATCACAAGTAGGCCCACAACTTTGCGCTTCCACGTGCATTTCCACATATTTCCACCGAGCCTAACCTCGAACCTGCAATCAAGACTGAAAGCTCGGATACCCAGCAAGACGTTGCTTGCGGAGGAAACCATTTGCGAAAATGGGCAGTCAAGAAATGCTGCACACAAAACAACCAACGCTAGTGAACCCCAAATCCTCATACGGCTTCTTTGCAAAACTAACTGTAGGAACACTAGAAAGCTCCTCCGGTCAACAAGTGGTCGTGTTCGCGTGCCCCCACCCTACCGCCCGGCACGCCCTCTTCTTTTTCCAATCTGGTACCGGGCTTTGCCCGATAGGTTGCCCATCCCGGGCCTCCTCAACAGGCCGGGGTTGGGACTTGCAGCTCAAACTCTAACTTTAGGCAAGGAGCCGATGCCAAGGCGGTTAGGCACCGGAATTCCCCGTTTCGAGGTTGCAGCAGAGGGCCTACGCGTAGACCCAACGAAGGCCCGCATAGCTGCAACTTTTGACCCTGAACTTGCCCTGAGCGCCCACGGCCCCGGCAGCGCTCACTGTTCAAGCCTTGGCGTCTCTGTCACGACACCGTCAGGCGCGGAAACATGTTCCGCAAAAGCGGCCATTGCGGAATTTCCCCGCTACGCCCATCTCTGACCACCTCCATCCACGGATGATGGTGGTCCGCCGGCTTTGCTGGCCCCAACCGTGACTCCATCGCGAAAGTGCAGGGGGACTCACGGCCCGCTCCCCACAACGTCCTCGCCTGTGCGGCACAGCACTCGCAGGTGCTAAAGTGCGACGATGCATAGCCCCTTCACGAGCCCGCGGCATCCGACCTGCTCAACTTCAATGCTGAGGCACACCCAGAATTCTCCCGCATGCTTGGGTGAGGACGCCATCCACTGGCTGTGGTACACCTCGGCCGGCAGGAGCAGTAAGCTGAGGCTATGGAGCTCCACCAGCTCGTCGTAGACGTCACCTTCTTCTTCCTCCTCCTCTCCCCGTACTCCGGGGCACCTCGAAGGGTGGCTTCTTGGCACCTCCGCTTCTCGAGCCACCCAAGTATCCTTTTGCCTTCGCAGGGGCTTTCTTCAACTTCAGCGTTTCAAGCAAGGAACTTGACTGTGGTCATCAATCTGAGCCAAAATTCGGGGTTAACCAATCCCTGCATGCTTCCAGCACGCTCCGCCTCCACGGGGTCTCCCTCGCTGCAAAGGCCGCCCAGCTGTGCTCGGCGAGGGCCCCGTTCAGAGTGGGCCCGTTCGTCCCGGCCTTATTGCTTCCAGGGCCGCGCCCAGCCCTGATTTCGCGAGACCACCCGGCCCACAGAACGTATACTACGTGCTCGTACCAGCAGGTCCACAACCTCGAGGAGGGCCCAAAGCCATGGCAGGTCGATCCACAGTCAGAATGCCACGAACGAACAGTATGGGCTTTGGACAAGGGCTCGGGCCCAAACAGCGAGCTCGCGTGGGAACGGCCATCTTTTACTTTTCCTTCCCTTTTCCCTTGCTCCTGCCTTCGGCTAAATCCTTCATGGCCACCTGCCTCCCGGCTGCGATGACCGGAATCGCATGCGCTTGAACCCTCACAGTTTAAGGTTTAGGATTTATAGGGCTTTAGGACGCCGGGTAGCCGCGGAGCCCAGGCCAGCTGGAATGAAACATCGGCCGCAATGTTCTTGCAAATTTCCTCCTCCGCGGTGATCTCCAGTGCTGAGGCATTGTCTAGCTGCGCCGTGGAAGCAGCGGCCTGTGAGATGAGCCAGCACCCTCCGTGCCGGGTCCGTGGTTCCACCGGCCCGTCTCCAGCGCTCCCTGTGTGGTGCGCCACAGACGCTTGGGCCATAGCCTCGCAAACCGGATACTCCGCAGCCACACAATTGCGCCACACCTCCCGGCCCTGCTCATCCGACCAAACCTTCGCTCGCAACGGCGTGCGCGAATGCTTCCGCGATTCCCTGCCCAGCGAATGAAAAGAGTCCGGTGGGCTTCTTGTGCGCGGCTCCACAGCTGGACGAGTTGAAGGCAACCAGATCGCCCCTGCCAGAGGAGCGACATGAAGGAACGTGCACCGAGCCTTGCCAAAAGAACTTCGCCCACATAACACATTTGCCAGAAATGCATACGGCGGCATCCGGTCAAGGACTGCCCTGGGCTCTGCAAGGCTTGTGAGGCCAGCACACAGGTGGTCCGGGGAGTGAGTGCGCCCGAGACCCGGTGCCGGCTTGACGCCATGAAGCGGACAGCCAGATCCCTCACGTGCTCGGGCCGCGACGCGGAAGACCCTTTCCCAAAAACGGCCCGGAACCTCGGCTGAAGTGCCGCCCAGCATCTGTCCTCCGTCATTCCCTTGTCCTTTGGCTCCCAAGAACCCGAGGGGCACGAGGCCTGCAAGCCCCTCGAGCCACAGCTCGGACGGACACGGGATCAAGGAGGAACGCAGCAACCAGCAAACACTCGGAGCACTTCGTGCGATACAAAACAACTGTTATGCTCCATCAATTTTGGAATCGCTTCTTGTGTGTCATCTTGTGACACTACAATTCCCGGCAACTCCCTACCTGCAAAACCAGAAAAGCTTCAAGTGCATGAAGTGTTGATTATGCTTCGACCTGCTGTCCTGTATAGCGTCCTGTCAAGTGGCCCGCAAGCCCGTGTGCAGCGTGCAACTTTCGTGCAGTGGTGAAAAACTCAAGGATTTGTGCCGCAATCTCGTTGAGCAGCTCGTCAGGTCTATGAGCTTCTTCCCCTTTTTCAGCTATCTGATCTAACATGAGATGCGCTCGCCAGCCGTGTTGTCTGACCTTTCAACCCCAGCTGTACCCATCACCTGGGACTAAAGTAGCTTGGCCTTTGCTGCAACTGGAACGCCTGAACTTCGATGCCCCTAGCAGGAACACCAACCCTCCGCGCCTTGAGCCTTTCTCATGCATCATGACAATACGCAGCTCTATGGTTCAACCTGGCGACAAACAGCACATCTCACGCACCTGTCGTGTGATCTCTTCATCAGAGTACTGGAATGTGCTAAGCCAAGTACTTAAAACGCAGCACCCCGAACACAGCTGCTGCCCCGATGATCTCGATGGGGACTCCCAGTGCCATATTCACCCAGCAGCACTGGACTCTCCGAAACCATCCAGCACATTTGCCTGTGCCGCGCATACCTCAGCACTGCCACCCAACCTCCTGCTGCGCCAACTCTATCAGGCTGGGCCCGCCAGGGACAACACGGGAGGCAACCTCGGAGCGTGTGCGCTACCGCGAGCATGGGTAGCTTGGCGGAAGTCATAGCGGATAGTAAGGAGGCAGAAGTTGCAGCCAATCGCTCCGCCATCAATCAAAGGGCAGCTACTGCAGTGCTCCTGTGTATGATGGATGCTTCTTCCCGGTCTCTATCGCTTTCTCGAATCGGTGCAGGTTGCCAGAGGCAGCGCTTGTCACCGATGCTGTCATGCTTGTGTTGCTCTTTGGGCTTCGAACTCCGCTGCTGGTGGGCATTGCATGAACCCCGTATTTTCGCAGCTGCAACACCCCGAATGCAAAGTCCAACTGCGCACGAGAAGGGGCTGAGGCCTCACGAATGTTGCCAGGGTGGCCTGCTAGACCTGAGCAAGACTTTCTGAGTGCTCTACACGCCAGCTCATGCAGATTTTTCAATCGAGCCTGCGCCTGAAGGGTGCACTCAAGCACGGCAGCAGTCCCCGAAAGCCACCCACAACTGCGTGACCGACGTGATTCAGAGTCCCAAATAAAGTAGCAAATGCTGAAACAACCGAAAAGCCTGAGCGAGCGGCGATGGAGAAGGGGATGACCTTTCATCCTCTGGATTGCCGCTTCCTCAGCTGTGGCCGCTCGAAAAATCCGTACCTTCCTTTACTGCTGGAGCCGACCTCTGGGCATGGGAGGTGTCCGCTTTGAGGCAGGGCTGGGTACTACGGAGTAGAGCAACCGCCGATCAGGATCTTGCAGGCGTGATCTCTCGACACGAAAGCGGTATCAATGACTCCTAATTGCTTCTCTAGTCATAAAACGTTATCATAATTTTGCAACCTGCAATTGTCGCATCTGAGCTTGCTGCCAGCACTCCCCGGGGAGGCGATGGCGAAGGAGCCTTAGGCTCGAAAGCTCTTCAGCTTGGTACCTAAAGGCGCAGTGTGGGGGTGCTGCACTCATCGTAAGGGAGGTGCAATGATGCATGTGCCTGAAAGCATGTGTTTGACTGTCTGTATTGGCGCTGTTGAGATGTTCATGTGGTCACCATGCGCAGTGTTGGCCCCCTCATATATAAACTACGCCCAAAATGGCAAGTCTTGAATTCTTGCCGATCCCAACCTCCTGAGTTCCACTCTCCTCCGCCTGCATCTGCACTCCCCATGGGATCTGCCGGGAAGTCCCGTGCTTCCAACTTCCTGCGTGCTTGCTCACGGGACGACTGAATGGATCGTAAATTTACTCGCCAGTTCGAAAACGACACACCAAACTGTTTCCGTCCAACTGCATGCACGAGGCATGCAACCAGAGCCACATGAGCTCAGATTTATGTCGTAGAGTTCTTTCGGACAATATCATCCTAGTGCAATCCCTAACAACTCCTCCGAGCCTTGCCCCGTATACAGACCCAGCCCTCGGTGGCCTGTGCATGCGCTGCAGGAAAAGCTTTGCAGAATCATACTCCTCCAAGCCCGGGAGGGCGACATTCACCACCTCCCAAAGCCAAACTAACACGGAGCTTCAACAACCCCCAGCTACTTGCAGGCAGGCGCTGCCGCTAGGCGGGACAGTTTGATGTCGGTTGAACGCAACTGATAAAACGTTTTGTCGCGTGTTGCTTGATCATGTTACATGCTTCCTGTCAGCCTGAGAGTGATGTGTGCGGTAGGCCACGCGAGTACAGAGGCACGGTCAAGTTCAGTTACATGTCATGAAGGCATTTGCAGGCATGCACCCTATTTAACGATATAAAACCGTCTTCCTAATAAAGCTCGTGTCTCGCCGTGACGACCAGTCTTGATTCCAGAGTTGTGCACGCCAGAACATGTGAGAGCTATCGCACATGAGGGCCTGACCACCTTTATCGGCGAAGTATGCCGGTCCACTAGGCTCCGGTCGCTTTAGCAGGATCCGAAGCGTTTAGGATTGGACAACATGTTCAAGTGGAGATCAAGCGAAAATCACGCGAGGACTAGCCTCCACCAAGTGGAGTTGGAAGTGGAAATCAATTGGAATGCATCGCAATTCCAGGCGTAGCTTGTTTTGCAGCCGTCTTGCGCAAGCTGAGACGTAGCAGTTTGTCTCAGTAGTAACTACCACATCATCACATCGTGGATAGAGAGCGCACTCCTCGACAGTACATCGCGGAGATGGGTGAGTGCTGGGTCGCCCAATCCTCGGTATCAGGGCACTCGTGGTCGTCGTTGTTGTCGTCGCTTTCGTGGTTGCCGTCGGTCTTGGAGTTTCTGCCGCTCTTGCGCTGGCCGATGTTGTTGCTGTCGTTGTCGTTGTTGTTGTCGTTGTGTCGTTGTTGTTGGTCAGTCCCCGATTCCCAACGTCTGCCAGTGTGGGGTGGGAAGCGATGACAGGGCGCAACTGACAGCATTCTTGTGTCGTCAAGTCTTGCACCGAAGACACTGACTGTACCAGCGCGTCATCGCCCACAGGAACCAAGAACAAGGCAGTGAGTTCGACACAGCAGTCTGGGCGAGGGATTGTGCTTCAGAGGACATCCTCTAAACTAAAACCGTTAAACAATCTCGTTCCCCCGTGCAGATGATTCGAAACTTTTGCTCTCGTTAGCAAATGCCCACCACTGAAAAACTCTAAAAGCTGAAACATTTGAGATCCCAACAGCTGCCACAGTGATCCTGACGAAAGTTGATTTTCGAGCTTCTGGTGTATAGTCTTAAGTTAAAGCTGCCGTGGTAACAGATTTGAAAGATCATGCTTACGCGGCCAATTTAAGTTTGTGCCTGGGTTGCCACGGTAGAAGTTACTGAAGTCAGTGAGCTTGAAGAAACTCGGTTCGAGTCTAAAGATTCAGGTACATAGCCGCCCAAGGCCGTCGGTCATAGAACTGAGAGACAGCATGGCCATGTGTTCATTTTGGGCTGGGTGTGGCGGGTCCGGTCGCAGGAGCGTGTGTGTGTGGATGCGTGCGCAGCCCAGCATGCCATCGGAGCAACAATGGCTTCAAATCAAAGAGGCTGACTGTTTGATGGTGGCTGTGCGTGCAGACGACCCCGCACCGAAGCCGGCCCGGTACCATCCGCAACCGAGATCTCCCAAGCGTCTTGCTCAAGGTCCACCTCGCCCGCGAGCAGGCAAACCGGGCAACTGTTCCTTCCCACGAGGGGCAAGACATGTTTGGCAGTGACCATATGCTTGGTCCCGACAGGGGCAACAAGCGACAAGGCCCGACCCTCAACAGTAGCCTGAGTCCACAGACCAAGACTCCAAAGCCGAGACGACCACGACAAGTGGGGAGAATGGCATGGTTGTGGACTCAGGCTACTGTTTAGGGCCCGGACATATAACTCTTTGCTCGTGTCGGGACCAAGACCATGGTCACTGCCAAACACGTCTTGCACCCGTGATGTTCGGACTCGGCTCAAGCTCAGGGCGGTGGACTATCTTCTCATCTCCTGGGAAGCTTGAGTTCAATGCTCGGCCGCCGGTACTACTTGTACGGGGCATGAAGTGTCACACTGTTCCCTATTGTTTTTGTGGCAAAAACACGCATGGTGAAACCAACACATGCATGGTGTACCTGCCTTTAAGCAAGATGTGGTTGTAGATTTGCGGCAAGCTGCCGGAAGAAGCAATACTGCACATGTACTGGTCGGCTGAAATGTTTCAGCGTGTTTGCCACCAAGGTGCCCCAGTCAGAACATTTCATCTTCGGATAGAAAGAAGCGAAAATCGTGCAAGAGCGTCTCATGTGGACCACGCACTGTTGCGACATTACGATTGCTCTTGCCAGGAAGTGGCCCCTGCCTTGCTTGGCCCGAGCGAGCTGTAGATGGGTGTCCGCGAAAGGACGAGGAGGTGAAGATGGCACCTGTTCAGTTCTTACGATGTGCTCACAGTCAGAGTCCAGCGACACCCTTTTTGCGGCCGGACTGACCGTCACCCGGGGCAGGCACGTGTGCTCCAACAACTCCCCAAACAGCTTGCGAACAGCAGCGCTGCTGGCAAAGGCACCCACCTCCACGGTGAGTGGCAACATGTAAGAGCCGGATCTCAGTGTCTATTTCTGCAGGACAAGCTGCCAGTTCCTAAATGCGATGAAAACCGTAAAGCAGTGCGCGGAATCTGCAAAGCCTTCAGTACTCTTCTAACTTGACCCTGCCAAAGCCTCTCTTTAGCTCTGATCAAACATCAAATCCGTTGCTAGACAGTCTGCCGCACATCGTAAGGATAACCATAAACGAATACCAGATAGTGCCAAAGATGCGGGCCGAAGGACAGGTACACGCAGGCATGCATGTCGCTCTGCATACCGCTAGCACTGTCGACATCCATTACAGGGACATCATCTCAACGTTCAGATAAAAGGAAAGGAGCTCTGGGCAACACCAAGGAGGGTCTGTAAAGGTGCTCAAAACGGGCGTAAGGTTAAAGGCTCACCTCCGAAATGGCAAACTACTCGCTTGCAGACCTATCGGAACATTCGGTAATTAAGGCCAAAAAGATTGCTGGTGGCTGCTGAAGCAAACAGCTAGACGCCGTGCTGCACATGTTGTGCCAAGCGAGCCAAGACGCTTTGCGTTGATCCGAAAGATTGTCCCTGTGTTTGTCTGTTGCATGTTTCTGCGTTCGGGTGCGAAAAAGTGGGGCAGCTGAGTAGCATCTTGCCTCGTCGTCCACAACCAGTAGTACCGGGGCTTTGCGGCGTATTCTCTCGATCTGCTTGAACCTGGCCGGAAATGGTCATGGGCTCATGGGGACTAGTACAGCGTCAGGCTGCGAATATGCACAGTCCCAACGTCTAGCATAAGCTTTTCAGCTTGTCAAAGGCCAGCAAAATACTTTTGGGGGAAAAGTTAAACTGCAAGATGCTGAAGATAACGGCATGAGCGTTGCCAATTGACGCACGAGGCGCTAGCCGATGCCAATGTTTGTTTGTCGGTCCGTCCGTCCCTCCGTACGGGCGGGCGGGCTTGTTGGCAGGCTGGAATGCTTGCTTGCTTGGGTGCATGTCGCTTCCAATCTTGACAAATCTTGCAGCTTGCAACTCATGCGAAACAAAGCTAGATGCATGGGCAGCACTGCTTCATCGTGACTCAGCCCTGTGCAACGAATCGAAGCTCGAACCGTACAACAGAATATATAACCCAATGCACACTTTGGTCATGCACTTAACAAACTGAACTCTGACCCAAGATGTGTTAGCTGCCCCCGTGTGAAAAGTCGGTGTAAAAACAATCGATAAACACGCCTACACATACATACATACATACATACATACATACATACATACATACATACATACATACACACATACACACACACACACCCGTGCATGCATATAAAAGATGGATAGATAGTTAGATAGATAGTTAGAAAGATAGAAAGATAGATAGATAACCAGATAGATAGACAAGTATATGTATATGTATATGTATATATATATATACACAAGTATTAGTACATACACACAAATGTTATACACACAGATGTTTATTTGTTTATGTCAGCCATCAACGATAGATAACGTTCGAAGATTCACTGAACAGCAAAATAGTCATGTACCATTTGTGCTCTACCGCGAAGTGGGGTAAGTCGAGCGATCTCAAACCGAAAGGATCCGTCCTTAATGCGTAATTACTCGTCCAAACATCCGTGTGCCGATCGAGGCAACAGGTGTTGAGAAATCCAACGGTCCGCCAACATCGTCGGCATCCAGCGGATGAACGAACGATCAAACACCCAGCCATGATTTTCGGCGATACTTCCGATGAGAACTGAACAGGGGCGTCCTCCCGATCGAAAAGGCCCACACCGATCATCTCGGGTCTAGGGTCTAGGGTTATAGTCTCCGTGTTAAAGCGAAAAACGAATGTGACGCAACAGAAAATCGCACAAATAGTAACTTGCACTCCGAGTGTCTCAAGGAGCTAGTAACCAAAAACTGCGAAGATCACCAAATCGGTCTTCGCCGGACCTTTTTGTGGGATCGGCCGCGGGGATCCTTCGGGCACGACGAGCGTCTTCCACTTGTACAGAGCGAAAATAAGCGATGAAGAAAGATCAAAGCGAACGCCCTTGAAGAGTAGAGCTCTCCGGTAGGCTCGTCTGATCTTGCCCCAGAGCTGGGGACGCCCCGAACATAAGTTTTCCTCTCAGTTTGCCCGCGTCGGCAGCTCGAGCGTGGCCATATACACTCCATTGGATGGGGCGCTGTCAACCGTGTGCGTCTTATTTTTCTGAACAAATTCACATCTCTGGGTGGGCATCCAGCGATCGTTGCCCCACCACCTCCGAGACCTCATGAAATCGAGTAAACAAGGCCCAGAGCCGCGCCTTCTTCTCTGTCTACGTCTTCAATCGAAGACCCGAAGACTCCCGCACCGCCGGAGAGCGCGCGGAGATAAGTCGCGCGGACCACGCGGAAGACACTAGTCCCAGGCCCATTGCTCCAGTGGAGCAGCTGTCAATGCCGATGCGTGCTCTTTGCGATCAGGCTGCCAGCAATTTGAAGCAGCGATGGCGCCGACGATTGGCATCGCTGGCATGATCTGATCATTCAAGGTAACGTCCGAACACCTCGAGGCAGTGAGCATCTCCCGTCACAGCTGAGCGTGGAAGAAAGAGCCGAGCTCGCCCGGATGATCATCTGTTGTGGTTCGGAGAAGACGGCGAAGCGCAGACATGCACTGGTAAAAAATCAATCGCGCGAGTGCGCCGCTGTTGCTCCACGAGCTTGCGCTGCATGACACTTAAGTTCCATGGTCAGTCGCAGTCGCGTGCAAGACCTCAACCAAGTCCTTCTGGAGAGCCGCGTCGACTGTGAAGGGTGGATGAAGTCGAGCGACTGTTGAATCGCTTCACCAGGTTCAATCTGCGAGGTGATCAATGGGGCCACCACTGGGTTCTTCAGCTGCAGCTGCTAGCCGGCCGCGACCGCAGCCTGCGATCTTGTTTGCGTGGCTTGGCCGCGATCGGGCCACGCAGCGGTCTTTTTCTTTTCGTCGCCGCGACTGCTGCGGCTGCGCGAACTGCAACCGCTGCAAACTCGTCGGCGGGAGGGCGACCGGCTCCTTCCACCGAGTAGCCGACGAGGACGATGCGATCGCCCACCCCTCGGCTCTGTGAGTGGGGGTAGCACTTCGTGTCGAAGATGATCATGTCGCCCTCGAAGTCGAGCTGCCGTCAACTTCGCGGTGATCGATCACGTCTGAGCGGGTCCTCATAAAGGGACGATGCCTTGGACTCCCACTCCCGCGAGACCATGGTTCCGACCTGTCCATGTCCCCTTCCCATTGAGCAACTTGAACAGCTGCTTCCCGAAGATCTGGTGAAGAGCTAACCGTTAGGGCGAACTCCTCAGAAGAAGCATAGGTCGTACGATCTGCCATGGCGAACTCAACCTACCGAGCCAGAAGCGATCGCGCAAGACCAAGCTTCAGAAGATCAAACGCAAAGGAACAGGCACGGCAAACGCAGTGCGAACGAAACCTGTCAATGACAGAGCAGCAAGACGATCTTTTTGTGCATGGCGCATATGTCACAGCGCTCAGGAACCTCTCCAAGGCCTTCGCATTCCCCGATTTGGAGGAGCCCGCGCAAGTGCAATCAGGAACCGGATCCATCTACTACGCGCATGAGATGACAGTTAAGCCAAGCGAAAGATCCTTCGCCCGGCCGGTCCGGGTCCTGGCCGTGATCACACAGTTGAGCACCGCCTTTTTCAAGGTCACGAGTATCCCCTCATCTGCGCGTACTCCCCAAGCGCCTTCCACTGCCTGCCACTCGAGCGAGAGCTGTCGGGTCAGCTTGCAAACCATGGCGACCGTGATCTCCTTTCGTTTGCGAGCATACTGGCCGATCTCGAAATCAGGAACTTGGGCGGCGCCTCGCTGAGCGATGTAACTCTGGAATAGCTCACCTGTTGGGGAGGAATATGTCCTGCCTTGACGTCCTCGCGACAGCGGTGGCGGGCATACAACCTGAACCAACCAAAGGAGTGCACGCTTATATGTTGCCGGCCTCCCGGAGAACTCCAGGCATTCAGAAACCTCGTACATCAAGAAATCTTGATCGTTGGTCCAGAACATTGCCATCTAGGCTGCCCCTGGAAGCCAGACCTTGGCTGCTGCGAATCGCTTGCCGCCTTTCTGTCGATAAACTTCGATTTGCCCACGACCGAGCGAATCGGGGGCGATGTAAATGGCATCGTCGACCAGCCAAAGTAACTCATGAATCGATCGTCTACTTTGACCCGTGCAACGACGAACCTGGTAGACCTGCCGCTGCAGCGCCATGACCCTGGAGTCGCTTAAAGCCATGACCCTGGAGTCGCTTAAAAAATGAGGCCCTGTCATCCCGAAACGAGCACAGACCCACCTGATCGACTGCCGGATGGTTGGCACGACCCTAGGTCCACAACCATTACCGGTCATGAAGATGAGGTACTTGAGCAGGATTTCGCCGCGAGCGGGAGAAGCACGGCGGAGCAAACGTGAGCCCGCCCCGGGCTGGTTCGCGGCCAAACGAGCAGCTTCATTGGCGATCGCCGGTGGGCCGACAGTGGCTGCAGCTCGCCAGGGAGCTGCAGGTGGGTGAATGCCACCAGCAGCAGTCGTCGACACAGCCCACGATGCATTGAACCATGGCGCACCTGATGAGGGAAGTCCACTCTGGTCGTTTGGTGCCGTTATGCATGGATCGTGTTGATGACCGCCGGCCGGATATGAGGGAGACTGCGAGCCAAGACCCCGGGATAGAGATCCTCCCACAACACAGCATGCAGTTTCTCGAGTCGCGAAAGCGAAACTCGACCCTGCCGGTGGCGTGTCCATGGAGGACCGATCGGTCACTCGCAGCCCTCGACCGTGCCGTGGGGACCGACAGAGTAGGAGTAGGAGAGGGCTTCCGACCTCGAACGACAAGGCGGAAGAGAGCTTCCATCCCATGAAGATCGCCGCCAGAGCGGACCCTGCTTGTCCTCCGCGATGAGAATCTCTTCGAAGAACCCTTGTTGCACCGAAAGGTCGATGCGGTGAC